CCGGCAAGGAAAACGACGCCTCGAAGCAACAGAATAGGAAATCAACCATGCGAACGACTCAAAATCCGTGTTTCCGAGGCAAAACGTGGGGCATGCGTACACGTTATTCAGCTCTGTCCATCCAAACACGAACTGTTGAACTGAACGTTTTCAAATGAACTTGCTCAGTAGTTTTCAGCTACACTTTGCACTGACAAACATTTTGAAAGTTTTATTTAAATCAATCCCTTTTCTTTTCTTTTTCTCATTTTTTAGGGGGGCGTGGAGTAACGTAATATTTGAAAATTTTTCTCTTCTTCGAAGAAATTATTCACGTCGGGCACATCTGGTTATGCAAATGTTGGACTTATTCTAAACAAACTAACGACAGTGGAAGTACGATACTTCGTAAAACCTCTCGCTCTCGCCCTTTAAGATTTGTTTGCCGCTTTTAGTAGGCTCAATGTTGATTGGAACGGAAGTACTTAAGATCTCGTTTGGAACACGTAGCGCATCTAGAAATAGTGATCTTGATGATCTAGAGCCCAAATTAACTGCTACTAACTAAAAACTGAGGCCCAGTCAAAATATTTCACATAAGTAAGAGTACATGCACATGGTATATCCTAAACGATCCAACTAAGTGACGCGGTCATTTTTATAATATACCGGGATATCGGTGCGAACATTCTATGAACAGTTTTTTTCTATGTAGCTTTTGAAATATGTCACTACGTTCGTAGATAAAACGTGAAATGATGTTTAGGTTACTGAGGAACATTATTTTTCAGTTACGTTCCGCAGTTAAGAGGGTTTGGCAACGGTGTCTGAGTTCAGTTGCATTGAAATCGCACTAGCTTACGGCTTTGATCCTCAAATAATCCGGTAAACAATTATAAACTATAGATCAGCACATATTAAAATTATTACTATTTAAGAAAGATCACAACAAAAGTAACTAAGTTTGGTCTCGTATATATGTCATCAACATGTCTTACGATTTGAATAACCCACCCAGCGTTGTTTCAATGAAGCGGTTATAATTCTACTAGTAAGGTAAAGCAAATCTCTGGAATATTTGATCGGCAAGATCGACACACGTTACATTAAATCGTCTCAAATTTGTAGAGAGATATGTTTTTTAGTTATATTAAAACAACATTTCTTCTATCATGCGTCGTAGATAGGTGTTCGGTTGGATGTAGGACGGAGCTGTTAAGTGTTTACTAGATTTCTGATGGCAAACAATGCTTAGTAAAGTTTTATTTACTAAAAGAAAAGCATATCGAGATACCTTTCAAAACAGTTACAACACCCATCAGAAGAGCGAGATTATTGTGGCTGTGCCATGTAGTAATTATATAAGAAAATCATAATGAGAAACCATTAATTGAAAACATTGCTTTTCAAAAGTTGTATACGCGTGCGATCGGGTGGTTGCTAGAGCTTTCCATTCAACGCTTGCTGAGTCAGGAGGAAGACAGGTTTCCAAGTCAAACGGAAAAAAGAATAATCTTCAGGGATTGTTTCATTCATGCGGGAATGAATCAAATGAATTTTTTTTATCAAAATCGTATCGTCAAGTACAAATGTACAGTTCTGTTTGAAATGAACGTAAAGAGGTTCAGTGGGCCGATTAGTTGTGCAAATCATAATTCCAGGATTTTCGCTAAATGAAGAACGATCTCTTCAAAGTATGCATGTATACTTACAGTTGAACATAAACAAACTGACTGAGGAAACAAATGTGAGTTGCTTTTTGACGGTCGTCGATGTGTTTGCTTGCCGTTTCTATGGTCTCCAAGGCGATTGAAAAATAATATTCAAAAACAGAGGTACGGCAGTGGAATCCCGATTTCTCAAACCCTCGGTTTCTCGAACCTTCCGATATCTCGAACCAAACCTTGTTTCCCTTGAATTTGCTTCACTTGTAATTTCACCCCCGATTTCTCGATCGAACTCCCGATTTCTCGAACCAACATGCGTTTCCCCTGGAGGTTCGAGAAATCGGGATTCCACTGTATCTTTAGACGCTACAAACAAAAGAAACTGCGAAGGAAATTGTCAATGTGTAAAACATAAATTACGCTTTCTTTTTGCCATCTATTCAGATATTTTTTAAAAACCATCCTTTTTAATTTCGTCCCGGTTTCTTTGTTGCACACGTTAATTCTGATAATAGGAGCGCTAGCGTAAGGAATGATTAACTATTGCAAAAGTGCACAAAACATGCCTCTTTTCCAAGTAACCTGCGTGGGAGTATACTTTGTTACTTGCCATCACACCCTACGCTCCTGAGGGGGAGGGATGGAGGGAAATAAGGAAATTATATAGAAGGGCCATCGCTCCGTAAGGATTTTAACGGGGTTAGCCATACAGTTAGTCGAAAACAGTTCAACTGAAAACAAAAAAAAACAACAAAAATACAGAAAAAAAAAACAGATAGGGATTAGGTGCAAAAATTGACAAATTAAAACCTTTACTGGTAAAAAAGCAAGAGATTAACTACCTACAATTTCTTGAAAAAATTAACTATAAAACGTTTTCGTTTAATCGTAAGGGAAAGAAATCACTCGTTAGACGTAAAACGGCCAAAGATTTAACCGTTAGACGTAAAATGGCCAAAGGTTTAATTGTTAGCCGTAAAATGGCCAAAGATTTGACCGTTAGCCGTAAAATGGCCAACGATTTAACCGTTAGCCGTAAAATGGCCAAAGATTTAACCGTTAGTCTTAAAATGGCTCCCTCGAGCTTTAAGTTTGTGGGGGGTATTTTACGAGTTGGGTTACTTTAATGGAAGACGAAGAAAAGGTATCAGTACCTTTGCAAAATTTCAACACATTCATTCACGGTCTCTTGTCGTAAAATAAAAACTTTCGCTTACCGAGGAGCGTGCAGTTTAAAAGCTTTGATATGCGTTGCGATGTGATCATTATACACTGTCCTATTAGTGCTCAAATCTGGCTGGTGACAACCAATCACGTTTGAGAATTTTGTTATGGTTTTGATTAGTGAGAAATTAGATGCTCGTCAAAGGATTGAGCAGATTGCAACCATGACACAAATGCTCGGTTAAGAACTTCACAAAGCATTCGTCGTTTTCCTTCTTTATTGCCACGAACTTGCACTATTGTAATCGACAGAAAAATGAGCGCAGTAATTTTAAAAAACTCATAAAAACATAGCATTTGCAACAGAAGAAATAATTGGCAAAGGAGTTCCTACGAGGCAGTCAGCAACAGCCGGGACTGGACCTGGTTAAAGAATAAATAACTACTTTTAAGTAGTTGATGACGGGCCGATACCGATACCAAATATTCGATACCAGCGATACCGAGTTCGGGATCGAAAGATATCGATACTAGCGAAGAGTATCGATTCTTGCGATACTCCACGTGACCTATCCTCACTTAAATCTCCCGCGGCTAACCGCTGTCAAGTAGTCGAAAAGACTTCGGGCTCGAGATCGTGTATGTGCGCAATGTAGGACTGCCACAGTGAACCGGTCTAAATGGCGGTTTCTCCAGTCCCTAGTTCAACATTATATTATGAAATAGGACCCGATTTTATAAACTGTAAATGTAAAGTCACTGAGTACAACGGCAACAAAATTTCAACTCACAACAACCCAGACATTACCAGGACATATCTGGAGCAACTAAAATGAGTTGAGAACTACTATGCCTGCTTACTAAGGAAAAAACCTCGAGCGAGAAAAGAACTGAGAAAGGTTAAATAGCTCCAAAGTGTGGCATTTCTGTATGGTCCTGTGTGCCAGGGAGTCTCTGATGTATTGAGTATTGACGCGCAGAAGCCAATAAAAGTCACGCACCCGTGTTTGGTTGTTATTAGTGACCCAAATAGTAACTGATAACCTCTTATTGTACACCTTAAGACCATGAATGCAAGAGAAAGTTGCAGATTGCTTAATGTAGTAAGTAGAAAGATTGCATCATTGCGTTCTTCATTTCCTCGAGGAAATTAAATATGAGTCCCAATAAATTGAAATTTTTGACTTGCTTGATTGTCTTGTTGATGCTGCAAAAGAGACTACACAGAAAACCACGAGTGCTTTCATAAAGGTAGTCAATCAGATCACGTGACTTACCGTTCATTTCAATGACGTCACAGTATCGGTGTCGAAGAAAAAAAGCAAATATCGTACTCGGTATCGTATCGATTCGAAAAAGCCGTATAGGCCCCTCCTTAGTAGTCGATACTCGGAGGAACAAGGCCCTTGTGTAAAATAAGTGTCTTTACCAAAACAATCTCGCAGCTGTTCTCAAGAAAACTAATCCAAGAGTTTTTTTTCCCTGTAAACCTAAACGGTAATGGTCAGGTAACAAGGAAAATTACTTAACAATTTAGAGGTAGATCGATGTAATGAAAAACTTGACAAATAACTATCAGTGCTGTACACGAAACTTTCTCTAAGAACAGCAATCGTTTCTTTGATTAATCTATTACCCCTGGACCGGAATGCTCAAAAGATTTATAATTAAAGACTTAGCTGTGATTTCCCTAGCCAGTATTGAAAATTACACTGAGACAAAAGTTTTTTTGAGTTTGATCGTCTTGCAAAATTGAAGTGAAAGAAACCAAAGATAAACAATAGAACTGTCTACAAAGCTCCCAAACTTAATCAGAAAGTTACTGAACCTAATATCGTTTAATCGCAGTCGCATCTTGAACCCGGCTCTGGTTTAATTCCTAAAATAGATACTGTTTCAATTGCAGTGACAATAAAATTTAAATTTGGAGAGTAATCAAGGAAATTTAACACACGCTAGGTCACTATATTATTCAAAAACTGGACAACTTCTCTAATAATTACAAAGGATAAACGATCAGCGAATAAAAAGATCGCTTGAAAGATTCAAAGCTAAAATATATATTTGAGAACTTCCGCTTGACATATAAAAAAATACAAGTCGGAATGAAAATTAATCAACAATCATCTCTCTCCAAATAGTTTCCAGAAAAACAAATTGTGGCGTAAAATAAAATTACTTCTCTGTGACCAGTATTTTGCACAATGCTTTTAACTGCGTGCTATTAAGCAAAATCTGGTCCAAAATCTCGTGCTTCAGAAAGCATTGTATCTTAAAAAAATTGATTTCACTATTATCAGTCTTAAAGAAGTTATAAAAGAGCAATGATTGTAAAATTCTGAAAAATAATCACCTATGCTTTCGCTAATCTTAAAATACTTGAAGAATATTGCGAAAGGGAAGGCAACATTTGTATTCCCATTTAACAAAATGACTAAAAATGTTTCTAAGAAATTAATTCTCCTACGCAGATTGTTCACCCGTAAACGGAAGTGACAGGCGTTTAGACACATCCGTCAGTAACTGAACAGTAGTGGTAGGTGTTTCCATGGAAACGACACTTTTTATGTCTGTGAGTTTGACCAATGGAGTTGCAAACTGCACTTGAGTCATAATACCCGCGATGGGTGTTACTGAATGGAACTCCGTGTTTCCTATGTGAGGAAGTTGAATTGATAAGGTTTGTTGCACGGGGTGAACGTGTTGAGGTTCTAGCATGGTGACCACAGGATTTGTGATAACCGCTTGTTGTTTACCAGCGACAGACGGCTCCAGTGTAACTGGTTCTGGTGTCGACGTTAGTGACCTGGGGCTGTAAAGCAGTGGTGCGTTTACGGGCTGGGCCGCCATCTTGATGAGTTGGTCTGGAGAAGGTGTTGAGCTACAAGAGGGAGGGGTGGGTGTTGCCCACACTACTGACCCACCGTTACCTCCTGCTGAGATAGGGATCTGTACAAAGTAAGTACTGTTGGGGCATGCGTTGTTAACACTAGCAGGCCGCTCTGTTGCCGGAAGAATCGGCACAGGCGACATCGCGTGTGGGTTTGAGAGAGGATTCATTACAGCTCCACCCTGAAATGGAACTGGCGATGAGGTTGATGAAGTTGTACAGGAGCTATGTCGAGACTCGGTATTTTTCCAGGGAGACTTAACTTTACGGTAGTAGCTCAACGGTTTCAGAGGGCTCAAGTCGTCTATGAGACTGGCTTGAATGGCCACAGACGTTTGCTCTACAAGTGCGTCGTAAGGAAGGGGTGACGAAGATTGATGGACCATGAGTGGATGGGTTGGTCCCCCTTTACGAAATGCTTTCTCGAGCTCACGTTCGATACGCTTCCAACGTTCATCTTGGGAGTCAAATCCCCGCTGTTCATCTAAAAGTTGCTGCTGTTTTTGTCTTTCTAAGAGAATCTTTTGCTCAGGAGATGCCGGGTTCAATTTTGCGATCTGAATTGTTTGTTTGGGACTCCCAACTACAGGAATATTCTTTCCTTCTGGAAGACTTTTAAACGGTGAAGTAGACGAATGTGAAAATCCAGCATCGGCTTCTTGCCGGATGGAATACACATCGTCGGCGCTTCGTCTTCGTTTCGGCTCCGGAGCACCGTCCACGTCCGATTTTGGTGGCATGAACAGGGAACGACGGCTCTTCCTTGCTTCGAAATCGTCTGAATAACTGCAAGCTGAAAGTAACTGCGACATACGTGCGAAAAGTCAAGGATAAATGAAGACGAAATTTCAGTCTGTGATAATCCATCTGTAGACATGACTTGACATTTTAGGCCCTAAGTTGATCAGGTTGAAGTTAAACTCTACTTAGCCCCAGGCATGAATACCCCATAGTAAAGATGGAATGGACTTCCCTTATAAAAGAAAAGCAAAATGCCATCAAAAGATTTCCATTTTTAAGAGAAAAGAACATCGCACTCATCCCATAAATAAATGGACATCTTTCCGGGAACAACCAGAGTAAAGAAATAAACAGAGGGTGAAATATTCAAAGAGAAAACAGTTAATGCATCAAAAGGATATGATCAGGGTATTGTTGGTGTAGCTTCTTCAACTCTGCACGGAATTTAGCTTCAGTTGGACTGCCTGTTGATGAACCAACGCCTGCCAATATAAACGAGACAAATCAAAAACAAGAACAAACTTACAGACTTTTGACTGGAATTGTACAGTTACTAAATAAAGGGGGGAAAATTTCTAAAGAAACCGTGGTGCTGCGTCGGTGGGCGAGTATAACAAGATAATTTGGATTTACTAACTGGGTTGATGATGTAAATTGCCCACCGTAAAGAGTTACTAAGCTGACGTTTCGAACGTTAGCCCTCCATTAGAGCGATAGACCGCTGGTCAACTTACACCATAACCTCAGTTGATAAAAAAAAATTATTGAGAATAGTTGGTGAACTTACCAAACGCAGCCACTATCTCTTGAACTGAAAAGCCATCCTCAGATTCTTGCTGCCCTCTCTTTTTCGTACTCAAGACTCTCTCTGAACGTGAACGCGGCAACTTGCTTTTGTTTGCTTCAGTCTCCTCCGACTTTGGTCTTAGTTGTTGCTGGCTCGGTCTCCGCCTAATAAAGCGTCCAAGAGCACCTGACCAAGAAAGATATTTAATGATAAAGGTGCTCTGGAATATTACAGTTTTCTCTGAACAAGCCTTTAAAAACGTTTTGCAAAAAGCTCAAACCTAGTATGTAACGGCTAGCCTACCTCAACCAGCTTGTGGTAACCATTTCAACTGACCTTCATTGCCAAAGGGTCAATCGTTACGGACAGTTGAAACTCTAATATCGTTTTAACGTTTCGATTCACAGAGCAATTTTCATTTTTTAACTAATGTCAAGGGTAAGTAACACGAATATCGAACAAGACCCGAGATCAAATTCAAATAATATACTAAAGGTTAGTTGTCTTGTGAAGTGTTTGATCCCTTAAACTTACTTTCCTCGTCTTCGTCAAATTGGAGTTGGTTTCTCTTTTCTCCACATATTCTCTTCACTACCGGTGGGTTTTGTACCTCCTCTGTAAAACGGTAACAAATGAAAACAACGCATCTTAAAACAAGGGAAGCAAGAAGAAGTACATAGAAATATCTTCACATGTTACAAGTAGTTCGTTAGCCCTTTCAAAGTCATTTACATGGAACATGAGGGAGAGGGGTCTATTTGAAATCTACTGGCGGGTTCCTATAGAGAAGGGTTTCATTACCTCTTGTACAAAGCTTTTAAATTGCATGAAAGGTAATCATGGTTTAAATTCTGAAACCTGAATAACAATTTGCTTTCAATGTGAGTGCCAGGGGTACTTAAAAGCAAAACCCTCCAAATCTATATTTTGACTTGGAATCATTGGATGGAGAGTCACTACATCATGTTATCCTCACTTAATGAATTTAATGCACTTTTTTTTCTCTGAAACCAATGTACATGAACTGTAATTTAACTAATAGGGACATTTGAGCAAATTTCCAATACCTTGGGTGTTGGGTACTAATAATTCCAGTTTATCAGGATCTATTCCTATCCACCTAAAGCCAGGTTTCCTTCCTGCCTGAATGCTGTGGATGTGCACTTTCTCTATTAACTGAAGACTTGATAGAATGTTGGCAATGTCGTACAGTCTTCTGACTTTAGCTGAAAGAGGATGATTTTGTTATTAAATTCTTGCCAACAGCTTCAATGCCTACAGTTGTAGCTTCTCAAAATTCTACTCTAGATTTTCACTGTTAGACATTATATTTTCATCATGGAAAGGGGTGGTCTTGTTACTAAGCAAAGAACTTGCTCATCTTTTCGAGGTACTTGGATGGAATATTTTTTTCTTGGGCAACATGGTCTTTTCAAATTTGGTTTTTCATAGCAAAGTTATTTTCCTACAGTTACTATGCTGTTATAATTTTCTCACAGCTGCTGTGTATACTTTATTAGTGCACATAGTTATATAATTATGCAACTTGTAATCATTCTTACTTTTATACTTTGTTTGGCCTTCTTCCTCCTCGCCAATCAGTACATTTGCAGCATCTTCTAGTGTCACATGTCTTGTCTGGCATGAAGAAATATTTGGTTCATTTATTTCACACTATTTACATAAAATTAACGTAGATAGAAAAGTAAAGTTGCAACAAATGATTACAGAATAAAATAAATAAAGTACAGATTACAATTGTGTGTGGTGGCCAAAGTAGCAAAGGCTTTCTAGTTGCCAACCACATATATTGAGTTAGAACATGTGACGAACAGTTAGGGCTGGATATTTAAACAAAGTTTACCCATTGTTTAACAAACCGCGTTTTTTTTAACTACATGTATGTAGAGTTCAGTTGAATCTTTAATCCGAACATCCATTTTAGTGGACAGTATCAAGAGAGCCAAAAGCTACACCTGTAGCAAGTAGGAAAGACATTCATTTAAAGAAAACAACCGTCTTATGGGGGACATGGAAGGCCCACTACTTGCAAAAGACTGGCCATTAACCCTTTAAAACTCCCGTGAGTGACCAAGAGAGAATTTCTC